GGGATGGAGCCCTGCATCGTGCTCTGAGCTCTGTGGGGAATCTGTTTGAGATTCCCTCCCTCTCCCTCTGCCCCTCTCCTGGCTCACGTGGGCACACGCACACGCATACTCTCCCTCTCTCTGTCTCTCAGATAAATCAATCTAAAAAAATCTTAAAAAATACATACATACAAAAGAGAATGAGAGATGGAAAATAAAGCAGGCAGAGAAAATAACCCCAAAATTGTAAAAACAGTCATTAAAATATAACTAAAAACAAAGATCCAAATGTATATAATGCCATCTAACAATCAATTGTATTAAAAAGACAATTTTCTTCTCACTACTCACTTTACTGACTGAATACCTAAGATCCAAAAAGAAAACGTACAGTCATAGTGAAAGTCAAATAAAAAGTGCAAGATGAATCTATAAATGTGGCAAAGATACGAACCTAAAACACCAATTTTAAGACCTGCCAAGCTTGTTTTAATTTTATCATAAATATCTTCTGATGCAAAGTCAACAGCAATGGTCCTTGTTTCCACTTTGAATTTTTCTCCTAGGAAAAAAACACAAATACAGAGAAGGAAAATCATAACATGGCAATTAAGATTAAAGCATTTGATGATATTACCTTTTCAAACTCTTCCCCCCGCCCCAATTTGATACGAAATTTAGACCAGAATCATGTTAGCAATCATGAGACCATCTAAGAGATGATACAGAGTCAACACAATAATTCTGCAATAAAAATTCCAGTGTTGCTACAGAGCTGGCTGACTGTTCCTTAATCAGTTCTCCTTCTATAAATCAATAATGACTCCTTTTTAGACTCTTAGGTACAAATAGTAAAACATGATTCGTATCATAATGTTATATACTCTTTAAATACCACTGTTTTTTTTTTTTTATTTTAATTGCAAACTGATGCTTCATAATTTCAGATAGAAGTCTTTATGTTGCAAAATGTTTTAAAGGGTGATATATAAAAGTCCCTCTTATTAAAATGGAAATAAAATGAGTATGATCGTCGCGGAATTTAGGGCCTTGATTAACAGTTAATGGTCACCACATTAAAAAACCCACACAAAATGCACAGTGACAGAGCTACAAAATGACAGAAGACAGTCCTCGGTGTTCTATTTTGCTCAGGACAACAGAAGTACACACAGAGCTAATGGAAATCACACATTGAGAAATGGGACTCTGGAGAAACCGAACTCACTGAGGTAATGCAGTGTTCACTTCCGCCCTCCCTCGTGAGTCCATTTGAGAAGGCATGGACTGTGAGGTCCCCCAGACACAGGTACCAGTTTTAATTTTGTACCTATTTGCTAAATGACTTTGAGCAAGTCACATATCCTCCACAAGCCTCAGCATCCTCTCCTGATAATGAAAGTAATGCTACCCAACCTCTGCTTTGAGGCTCAAGTGCTATCTGGTGGTATGCAGAAGGCACTCCATAAATGCTAAGTCTCCTCTCTCCTCCACTAACGCCGCTCTCACTTCCCTTAGTGCAGTTCAGGTGGCTAAGAATGTTTACTCTTTGGAACTTGATGAGAATTCAGAAGAATTCATTTAAAAATCCTGCTTCCAAAAAAATAAACTTTTCTTCATTCGAAGTTAATGTTGGCTCATCACAGAGTCTGCAACATTAATCCACAAAGGACACTGCCATTCTTGATCTAAAAGGAGTTCTGCCTACAACTGAAGAGCTGGTTCACAAGAGATCTGTTTCTTAGTCTCAATGAAAAGTATTGACCTGAGGTAGGAATCCATGAATAAACTGGAGAGAAGAATATGTGACCTAGAAAATACCTATCTGGTGTTGGGGCACCTGGGTGGCTCAGTCGGTTAAGCGTCTGCCTTCGGCTCAAGTCATGATCCCAGCGTCTGGGGATTGAGCCCCACATCGGGCTTCCCACTCAGCAGGGAGTCTGCTTCTCCCTCTCCCTCTGCTCCTTCTCTCTCTCTCTCTCACTCACTCTCAGATAAATAAATAAAATCCTTAAAAAAAAAAAAAGAAAATACCATATCTGGTTGTTAAAGGCACACTTCTATTCCAGTGTCAATGAGTTACTGTATGTGTTCATGTAATGGAGAGCCACAGACCAAGGTGTCACGTCACAACAGCTCATCCAACAGGTCTTATTATAAATGCTTCCCAGGATTTACCACCAGTAAGTAGAGAACACTGCCCTTATTAGAGCCACAGATTTACAAGAAAAAAAAAAAAGACCCACATCAAAATGCTGAAGGGTACCTTTTATTAAATGTAAAACTTCATTCAGGAATGAAATGAGATAAATTTATCTATTTATTTTGAGAAAAACAAAGAATGTTTCCACACTAGTGCTATATACTGACATTTAAGAAAAATCTCTCTACTAATAAAAGCCACCTCACAACTCCTGAATCAAATTTACTCTTTTAAATCTCACAGGATTTGGGGCATGTACTTATAATGTAGAGTCTTGTATAGATAGGCTGCTAAACATATTCAGAGACCCTTTTGGAAAGAATGTTATTTTATTTAATAAGAACCCTCAAGTAAGCTTTTCTTTGTACTCACATTAGGATAAGCAAAATGGCTTCTGATGCAAGCTTTTCAAGATAAATCCGATTTTGAACTTGTACCTGGATTACCCTGAATCATGCATGTCCTAGTGCAGTTAACACTGCTGTTCTACCTTTTCTCCACTGCCTCCATCATGAGCTGCTTCTTCTGCAATGGAGGGCTGTCTGATCACGTCCCCCACCCCCTCACACACTTCCAGAGCTCCAGCTGGCTTATGGTAAGAGTCACAGTCTGCAGCAATGGCCTAATACTGCTCTGAACTGACCTCCACCTCCCTACTCTCCCCGCTGTCCCCGCCTCTAGCCACATAGGCCCTAAGCAATTCTCTCTTTTTCTAAGATTTTATTTATTTGAGAGAGACAGAGAGCATGTGCGCACATGATGGGGGAGGGGGAGCAGAGGGAGAGGGACAAGCAGACTCCGTGCTGAGCGCAGAGCCCGTCACAGGGCTCGATCCCAGGACCCTGAGATCATGACGTGAGCCGAAATCAAGAGTCTGATGCTTAACAACTGAGCCACCAGGGTGCTCCTTGAGCAATTCTTTAAACTCAGAATGTCCCCCAAACACATTCAGGGCTTTTGCACTTTATGAAGGATGACAATGTGGCATTCCCTCCAGGCTCTCCATTTACTTAATGTCTCACAGTAAAATCTTGTGGTTGTAAATTCTTAAAGAAATTAAAGAACTAAAGAATGCCATTATTAGAATATTACACACCGTTATGCAAAGATACTCAACACTGCTGATTATTCCTACTGTCAAACCACTTGGTATTTGAAATTGGATAGGCTGGCATCCTGCTACTTAAATTGTGGACAAATACAATCATGCCCTCCTCAGTTTTTTCAGATTGAAGTGATTCTGAGATGGTCTTGGCTCACTGTTTCTCAGCCTAGGCGAAGACCAAAACCTAAGAAGCAAAAGCTGTTGAGTGGTATGGGCGGTTCAAGACAGTCAACTCATCAGAAATAGAGGCGGAAAATCAGCTCTGGCTTATGGAGAATGAAGCCAAGAAATAACTGGGATGATACCATTATTCCATTTTTATCTACTAGTCCACTGAAAGCTACCCAACTACAATGGTAGAATAAGAGAAAGAAATATTATTTAAAACTATAGAGCTATAGAATATTGAACATCCTCATAACCTCAAGCATTCCACCACTTCCAAGCATGGGTGCCCTGCTCCTCCAGTCACTTGGCTGATTTTTACTCAGAGGATTGTAAATTAGTTCAAGGTTAAGTCTGGAAAGGACAGAGAAGAAACTGTACTTATAAGTAGGCTCAAGATGCTGCAAACAGGGGCGCCTGGGTGGCTCAGTTGGTTAAGCGACTGCCTTCGGCTCAGGTCATGATCCTGGAGTCCCTGGATCGAGT